ACGTCAAAAATGACTGTGAAAAAGGTCTATTTAACACCATCTTCCTCCTGGCCCTGCCTCCACCTAGCCACTCTTTTAAGAAATAAAAAATAAAATTAGATTTTAAATGTGTGTTATCAATATGAGGGAGCCTCCTGTTCATCTGGCCATGTAACAGTAGCACTGCAGGACAAACCTACCTATTAGCACAATATGAGGCCCTACGGGGCAGAACAACTGCAGTGCTGCAGTCCTGATACATTAGCAGTTACGTAGCATCATTATTATCATTTATTTAGAGTTGTGTTTGTGTCACCTGGTTAATGCAAGTCCAATATTTGCTCTCTTTTAGCTCTATTTAGGTCTCTACCAACTCCTGAGGGAAATATCTATCTCTAACTGTGTCTGTCTAAGACTGAACCAGACAGGACATGTGCCACAAAACCAAAACTAGCAGCTAAAAGGGGATAAAAAGCTGTGTAGAAAGAATTCTCTGTGTTCAACACTCATTTCACAGTCCTGACTTGGAAGCAGACTCTCCCTTATATAACTGTCAGATAATCCCAGTTTAAAGATTTTGGGTGTTTGTGAACTGCTTTGACACATTGTGAACAACTGTTTAATTAGTTCATGCATAGCCACAGACTGTGTTCTGGTTTTAAAGTGGTTTCCCAGGATTTTGAGGCTGTTTCGGACACCAGGCTCCTCTTTGTTTGTAGTGTTTTCTTTTCTTTGTTCAGTTTTGTGGAGTTTGTGATCAGTTTACAGAAAGTCTATATTGATATTACTGTGGTGAGCTATTGCAGAGACTTGCACCAAGTAATGTCTGTGTAATAACATTTTCTCTGATGAGTTTATGTGAACTTTACGGCTCATCTGATTTTGTTCAGGTGAGAACGACAACATTCATCACCTGGAAATGCATCCGGCTCATCTAATGAGATTGCTGTTGTGCAGCTCGTTAGAGGAGTTCATTTCAGCCGAACCTCCAGCTCGTCTTGTTTTATTAGATCTGGAAACATCCTGATATTATTCAGCAGTTATTACATTATACACAGACTGTGGTGTGTCATCAGTTAAAATAAGAAATGCAAGACATGTTTTCAATACATGTCGCAAAAATCTGAATTATGAGTAGAAAACACACAAATGAGGGTACAACATAGAAGCTTTGAATTTAAAATGTGCCTTCACTTGTTATGTCAAAGTTATGTAACTAGTTGTATAATTAGTTTATTTTTTTTATGGTAACGCAGCAGTGGGTTTTTCTTAATTTCTCAAAAGCACATGTGAAATGTGAAAAAATAATCAATTTTACATGTGCTGTGTATCACGTGTTAAATTCATACAATCAGAAGTGTTATTAACTCGGCCAGGGGAGCCTGGAGGGGATCATGCATTTGGTCGTGTGTGTTAATGTGTGTATCTGTGAGCAAGTAATCTGGCATACATTCATGAATGTATGCTAAAGGACTCACTCCTCCTAACCAGCCAGTAGTGGCTGCAAGTGATCAACAGCTGCTAGGCTAAGAACAAAGCTCACCTAGTCTGCCGTAGGCTGCATTACGGCCTTTGTTGTGGCTCAGAAACTGACATCCACAGAAACATCTGGTCTCATCTTAAAACAGCAGCTCATCAGCAGATTAATTGCATACCTGATATGTTATGATCTGCTAAAGTGGGGCACAACACAAGATTAATAAATCCCCTTTTATGTTATCTTCACCACCATTTTGACTGTAAGGGAGCTGGGAGGGATAATGAAGTGAGATTCAACTCTTCTTTGTTTGGAAGGGGAGAGAAAGGACTTTTATTTTGAGTAGTGTGCTACAAAAAATTTCTACATAAATAACAATGTTTAAACTGAGAAGTTTGGACTTGTCTTGTTTATTGTTTCCTTATTAAGTTTATAGGCAAACCCAGGGCGCTTCAACGTCACATTACTTCTACTTTTGCCTGTGATACATAAAACTCTACTATCTTAACAACTATAGGAGGTCCCTCTTTAGGAAAATGCAAATGTTGGTAGATTTATGGGATGAACCAAGAACTGCTACTGTTGCTGAGGAAAGTTTCCAGTAAAACGTATTTATGCTATGAAACAACTGGAATCCAGCTCTCAGTTTATGTGATCTAATGTGACATATTTATACACACTGGAGAGGACTCATTAATGGGAGTGTTTTACATGTTGTTTGACAAACGAGTTTCTCCCTGAGGCTCGCAGGGCAACTTCTGTGTGACACATCAGACCGGAGAGAAAGAAGAATACCTGCAGCTGCTGCGAGCTTTTCTGCACCCCTGATGGATGAACTGGAGTAACGAGCTCTGCCTGCTGGTCTGAATGCTAAAATGTAAAAATCAACATTTCCTCCTCACATAGATCCACTTACTGACATACCATGATGTTAAAAAACCTACATGGAAATAGGTATTCTGGCTCCTATTTGGGTTTAGATTATAGCTTCTGTCAACACTGCAAAAACAGCCCTTCTAAAAAAAACAGCCAAATATTCCTAAATATCCGTTATCTGCCAGTGGGGTAAGCCAATTTTGCTTGGTTCCAGTGCTGGAAACTTGCATAAAAATCTAGCCACTGAAAGACTGTAATGGGCCTTAAAACCAGACAAAATGTCTAAAATGTAAAGCAATGAAAATTCAGTTATTTAAGATTTTATTAAAATAAGAATTTTGGTCACTTTATTAAGCTAAATTTAGAAATTTGTACTATGATTAATAATTAGCACACACTGGGACAACACTGCTTTCTCTTAAACTAAGAAGTTGTGCAAGTGGTCTCTTAAAATGTTGAAAATAATCTTGTTGCTCTGCTGGGATATTATGCAAACCATTGTTGTTACCGGTTCAATATTAGCTGTAATATCATATTAAGTTAGATAGATTTTCTTAAAACCAAATTTCTTTTAAAATGCAAAACATGCTAGATTTTCCTCTTTAGACAAAAAAATAAGACTCATTTCCCAGAAACAAGGCTTTTTTACTTTCTTGAGATCCTTTTTTGCAGTGAAACAGATAAACCAAACTGTGTGGGAGGGATAAAACCCCGCCAGGGTTTCTAAAAAACATCTCAACCCGAATGAAAAAGAGACAACAAGACCAGATGAGTATGAGAAGTGGAGCAGTCGCCGTGAGACAAAATCTAACCAGTAGGAGTAGGAAGGTAAAACTCCAAAGATGCACAAAACCGCTTCTTTTTTTCCTCCTGTCAGTTACGACTAAGTGAAGCTTGGCTCATTCAGTAGAGTTTGTCAACAATGTTATTGTAGCCTATTTATTAGTCAGTTTATTTCAGCTCACATATATTATAAAGCCACAAATACTCATCAGATATAATATTAATAGATATGAGCTTTACTGTAAAGCTTCTGTTATGTTTCTGTATCGCCTTACACTCATGGGATTGAGATCTGATATCAGTCACTATAAGGCCTGCAACTGATTAGTATTTTCAATTTAAGTGACATATGATTTAAATAAGGACTAATGCCCACCACAATATTAATCTGACAATGACGAATGTCTGTTGTTTGTCAGGCTGATAATTCACCCATCAAATGGTCTAAAGTGTTAATATGATGATGATTTACACTCTGTAACACATCTTATTCATTTCTTCCACCTTTAATCGCAGCCCCAGCAGGAGTCTTCAGCGCCGGCTGAGAGAGCTCAACGCACTGCAGCTCACAAAGACCCCTCAAATATTTATATAACATTTACTAATTTCACAGCAGTCAGTTAGTCAAATCAAGTTCATTTTAGTACAAAATCCCCTCTGTATGCATCCACAGATCTGCAGCTGGAATCCTGCTCTCACTCCAAGTCATGAATGTATGAGATTGTGCTAGAATCAGGGTTCCTGTTCTTTTTAAGAAATCATTTTCCAGAACCAGTTTTCCTTGACAATTCAGGACAGCACACGCTCACAAACGGTGGTCAGCCATTAGGTGGTCATCGTTTTGTTCCTTTTTCACAGCAGCCATTTTGCCATGAAATAGTATGGTAAACACAGGTGTTACCAATGATACTAATTATGGCTCTGTTCCATTTAGTGTAGCTAAGCCTTTCCAGTGAGCCAACATGCCCCCTGACTCTGTTTGACCTGAATGGAACCTAATTAGTATCATTGTTTACCCTACTCTTTCATGGAAAAATTGCTGCTGTCTATTGACTATAGCTTTCCTCCAATCGTAACATTAATTTGGCCACAGCACAGGATCGAGCAGGATCTAGCATCTACGGTGAGAGCTGTTGGCATTATATGTGTGTGAGGAGCGACTGTTTACCCGAAAAAAGCAATGGCTGCTGTTAAAGAGGTTAGTGTAGATGCTAGTAGCATCAGTTCTATAAGAAGTGGAGAGTATTTCTTGACTAAAAGAAGAACAAAGAACAGCACTGAAGGCTTTTCTTGATGGAAAAGATGTTTTCACTCTTCTCTTGACTGATATTGGTAGGAGTCAGACTACATTACATAGCCCTTTTCAATTTCCAACAACTTCCTAGATGGTTCTGTGTTACAAATCTAGCGCAGTCAGGTCAATGCTGGCTCTCCAAAGGATAAATTACAAGGATTTGGTGACCTCCTGACCTTTCCTGTAGCGCCACCCTCAGGACAAACTTGTTCTTCTGAAATATCAAGCTGTATAGATTTTCATTAAAGGTCCTGATCACATTACTGCTCCTCAGAGGAAGAACCCTTTAGGTTGACCACATGGTCTTTCCTCTGGCGCCACCCTGAGGACAAACTGCATCTTTAGCTCCATTAGATAAAACTGTCAGGATGCTGTTAGTTCATATAGTGGTTGTAAAGAACACTGCAGCCTCTAGGGGTCGCCAACAAGACTTTACACATTTTTAATTATTGAAGGATTTTTATGATTATTGTTATCATATGATGATTTTTTCAGTAAAAAAGAAATTGACATCAGTTAATCTACTGCAGATATATGAAACATTTAGTAAACAGACTTTCTCGATCCAGATGTTGCCAGCAGCAGTCTTACCTGATGATGTCATCGTTGTGGCCCAGGTAAAACCTCTGGCTGTGCTCTCTGGTGTTGTAAACCACGCCGACCCCGGCCACAAAGTACACCACCTCCTTCCCAGCAGTGTAGTACAGATTATTCCGGCACTGGTGGCCCCGGTACCCGTAGACCCAGTCCAGTCTGAGACGGCAGCCCGGGGCGCTCCGGTCCGACATGTTCACTCATCTGACGGCACACAGTGTCCCGGTTCACTTCTGCAGGTTTAAGATCCTCCAGCCCAGAACAGATTTATTATCGATATCTATCGACTGAGCAGGGGCTTCACTAATAATAGGGGTTCTTTTGATGGAAAAACTTCGGTTTTTTAAAGAGTTTTAAACATTCATTTCTTTCCTTATTCTCTTTTGACAAAGTCCAAATTAAAGAAGCTACAAAAGTGGACATATAGAGGCAAATCCATCCATCAGCCTAATGTAACAATCTGAATAATCAACAGTTATAACAGCACAAATCTATCTTTAATCAAACGAGAGGAACATGGAGGCTGATTTCCTCCCTGGATGTTTTATTGTCCATGTGATTCTTAATAATCAGTTGATAATAATCACAGTAATGTCATTTTAATGCTGGAGTATTCCTGTAATCTGTCTGAAGCAATCAGCCGTGGAACAAAATGACTTTCTGAACTGTTGCTGTTCATCCCCTCAGCAGGTGAATTAGATGGCAGCTTCCACATGAGCCCAGAGCTCTTTACTCTGCACCTGCCATCATCATCATCATCATCATCATCATCAGCAGGGCTGCTGCTCAATGAGAAACCCCTGTTATAGCCCCACAGAGGGTTTCTGACTTCTGTTCTCCTGGTTTGAATATAATATCCCTAAAAGCACTAACAGTGTTTTTATTGTACTCTGTAGGGTTTATAACGATCCCATCATGCCCTGCTGTGTTTAATAGCTACAATTAAGACATGATATGAACTTTGTTTTGTATTTATGATGGGTTTACTTCAGTTTTTCCATCTAAAGGAGCGCACTCTTAGCCTCATTCATAATTTCCGACTCAGTCTGGAATATTTACTGCCCCTGTAGACTCAGTGGGCATTATTTACTTTTCCAAAAATAACTAAAACGATAAGGAACCACAAATCGAGAGATCAGGCTTTCCGAACGCGTCTGGAAAGTTCTCGCAGTGTCCAAAAAAGCCCAAAGAGACAAAAAACAGCAACACAATTGATGGAGGATTCTGCTCCTGGAAAATATAATCCCTCCTCACACTAATCCTCGACCTCGCTACCAGCCATGGTTACTACAGCACGGGTGCTTTTTCCTCCTGCATCCCTCGGTGTGCTCACATCATCCCTCCGCGGAACAACGCACAGCGCGGCGGCTCATTCACAAATCTGTGCGTGAGTAAAAATCCACCAGAGTCAGGAGGACAGGGAGCACGATGATCCAGAATCTCAAAATCAAAAGAAGCGGATTATCCCCCCTGTGAAATGATCGGGCAGTTCCGGGGAGAGCCGAAGAGAAAGAGGGAGAGAGAGCGACAAAAACAAGTGTTTAATCCCCGCAGATGATCCAACTTCAGCGGGCAGAGGAGGGGAGAAGCCCCGGGATCAGACCGCAGCATCCCGGCCGGATGACGGGAGAGGAAAGTCCTGATTCCCAGCAGGAGGAGAGCATCCTCCCGCTGCAGCTGAGTCCCTCCACCCACAGACAGACAGACACACAGACAGACAGGCAGGTGATCAGACAGACAGACAGACTCGGCTGATCAGTAAACCGGACTTTAGACCCCGAATGGAGACCCTCCCTGACCGCCGAGTCTCACCACAGTGATGTTTGCTCGCTCGTTTTCGACTGAGAAGCAGAAGCATCAAGTTAACACAGAGCAGCTCGTTAGCGAGCGTTTCCGGTGTGGAATCTGGAAAATAAAAGCCCTGTGGGTGAGGAGGGTTGTAGTGGCAATATCCAGAAAGACAGGGAGGAGAGTCAGGGTTAGAGAGAGGTGGAACGAAGGAAACTATTCTAAATACAAAAAAAAAATTCTTTCCTCTCCCATTAATCATCTCACCAGATTTGGAAGGCTCCACCGGCAGCAACTGAAATGCTGTTTAAAATGAATTGTAGCATTATATTGATAAAATATATGAAGTATTTTTTCCTTTCGATTGGTTACTTTAAGTACATCATGTTGGTAGCACTTACGTTGTTTTTCTTTTTGTTATTTTTCTCAGCAGGTTTTTATTTCAGCTTTTAGCTCTGCTCTCTTGTTTTATGTATAAACAGGAGAATATATTTTTCTATTTTATTTCTTACTGAAAAAATATGTAGGTTTAATCTCTTGGTTTCAATATGACAGCCTATAATCTTAAAATATTACGTTTAATTCATATATTCCTGTTCAACAGCTCATCATCGCTAGCTGTCAAATCCCGCATTTTATTTTGAAGGTCCAATCTCGACACTTCCGGTCTCATTGTGGCGAACTGTCACGCGCTGTGGCAGCTCAGACTCGGGAGGTAACCATGACGCACGGAGAGAAAACACCCCGGCTCCGCTGGAGAGGGACGCAGGGCCGCAGCGGATTGTGGGACTTTGTGTTTTTGCCGTTAACTGTCATTCATGTGTTTCTAATCAGCGAGGAAGTCAGAGAGGACTACAAACTACAAATACCAGCAGCGGAGGAGCTGTCCGTGGTGCCGAACCGAGGAGACGAGCTGAAACTGAGGGAGAGAAAGTTACAACTGTATTTCTATAAAACATTTCATCACAAGCAACAGTATATTGACAGAAAATAGACATCAAATAAATAGAATAAATAATACAAATATATGTAATAAATACAGAGTAGGCAAAGAAAAGAATATACGGAGCAAAAAAACAACAAAAGAAAATGGTTTAAAAACTAAATAATAACCAAATAAAGCAAACTAAACACTGAGGGGAAAGGTGTCTCACATTTACAGATAAAACTGAAGCTGATTAGGAGTTTTTGGAGTTCATTAACAATTTTTGAAAAATACAGCAACATACAACAGGGCTTCTGAATGGTTTCTCAAAAGCCCTGAAGCTTTCAGGCTGTTAAAAAGCTTCAACTTTGTGTCACTTCCCCTCAGTGTCTGATTGGACCAGAGCAAAAGCTTTATTACAGAGGTTCACATGAAGCAGATAAGACCAACATGGGGTCAGACTGATAGTGATTCAGAGGGAGACACTGATGGGCCGATACAGTGAATGTTTCAGCTGGAATGAAAATAGACCTTTTCTGTGTGGATTGTACACTAATATGATTTGCAAAGGTACTCAGAAAGCTGCTTTCGTAACAAATAACTTAATTAAAGAATATTTTAATAAATTAACAATGTTTATGTTAATAATTTAACATTTACATTGTCAACTCAGCTGACATTGCTGAGAGCTGCTACTCTCACTCTGTGCTGTGCTCTCTGTACTCCAGTGTTGGGAGTCACAGCGCACTCTGCTGGATGGATTTTGCAGTGACAATACCACAAAGCATATCGGATAACATATACACCAATACCCATATGCCCCTGCCATAGGCAAATATTGGCCGATATCATCAGCTGACCGATGTATTAGTCAGGCTCTACTTCTCTCTATGTACTCTACTCCAGCACAGTTTAACAACAACAGGTTTTAAGACTAGTAATTCTGTTCACACCAAATCCGTACCCTACCTATGTTATGTAACACAGGAGTGTTATTTTCTGGTTTCAGAATCATAAAGATTATTAGAGAACAATTAGATATAAACTAGGATGGATGATTGATGCAGCAAGGATTCTACTAAGCGAGCTACCTGGGCGTCCCCAAATATATACTTTTTGAACTGCTGAGGCACCGGAGAGAAAACCAAAATTCCATTATTTAAAACAACATCTGTGTTCCTTCCATCAGAATTTTTTCTCTGTTTTAATCTCTGAGACAAACACATCAGACAGTAGTAATAGGGAGATTATCAGAGGGGATTGAGGCAGTGTGAGCAGCGAGGGGCTGATGATCAGACTGACTGAAAACCCTCAAACAGCAGTATTTTCTATTACACCTGTAATGTGGCACTACAGTGGACTGAAGCGTAAACTGTGAATAATCTGTAAGACTCACAGAGTGGGTGGATTCAATAGCAAGAACACCCTTTAGGGGTGTGGTGTTGCAAGGTGTTCCTGTTACTTAAGAGTATAATGTGTTTTTCTTTGACATGATTATGCTCACTTTTAAACAGATTTTGATTCATATATAATACATATTGTAATATAGGAGCATTGTCCTTCACTGCCTTCTGTCTGACTGACGTTCAGTTCACAGCAGTGCATTGCTTAGCTTCAGTGCCATCGACAGCAGGTAACATACTGACTATAGAATACTGCCCCACTTAAAAAAAAAAAACTATCCCTGTAATTGCTGTGAGGACAAGATTAACTGAAAGCAACATAGATGAGCATGAGTAAGATTGTTATCACCCCTTCTCCCATCTTGAAAATGATGCAATTTTTTTTAAATGTTGTTTGATTATGCCAAAGAAGTGTATTTTCCATAAAGGGGACTTATATTGCTGGATATGGCTAAACAGTGAGAAAGCTGTCTAGTGAGTTTTTGAAAAGTTAGCTATGTCCTTCCATTAAAGGACCAGTGTGTAGGATTTAGTGGCATATAACTCCCTGAGTGTTTAAGATGCTCATCAACTGAATGATCAATTCAGTTAATTTGTTTTCACTGCTGACAGGTGTCCCAACTTAAACAAGTGCAATAATTTAATTAATTACTAATTACTTAGTAAATGTACTTGTGTGATGTGTCTGAAAGGTCCTGAAGAAATCTAGTAAGTGAACCTTGAGTTCAGAATTCATATTAATATTTCCTGTTCACTGCTGTTTGTGTCATAATGATACAGACGTATCAGCTGTTTCACATCCACATCCAGGCCGCACAGTGTGACCTGTTCTTTTGTTGCAGCAGCTGCTTCCATCTGCGTGTGTGTGTGTGTGTAATCCCTCATGTTGCTATCAAGGTGAGGACAGATAAGAGGGGAAGTCCTGTGGGAGCAGAGGTTGGATTAACTAAATTAGTGTGTGTAATTATGGTTTGCTCTAAACCCGTCTTGACCCCTCAGACTGTCCCAAAGTCCCTTTACACACATAAAGCATGCTGACTCATAACAAAAACACCAGTGTTTACTTCCAGGACTTCCT